CATAACATTAGAAAAAGACAAGATTGATCAGTAGTGGCTTACAATTTAAAATTTATAATCTTAGAATTTGATTCAAAAATTCAATATGATAACGATAGAATTCTACTAGAGAACTTTAATACTGTTAGGTATTCATTAATTCCAATAGAAATAGTGTATTAACGAAAATTGTCATAACATAAGAATAAAATAAAGATTGGTTTGAAGTAATTTAATGCCCCACAGGATAACATTGTATTAAAATTTCTTTAGGTTATCCTCATAAAAGTTTCCGAATTTAGCTGTTATAAGAAGAAAATATTAAGTATATATTCTAGGTTTTTTTCTGATTTTAAATAAATTATTAATAAATAGACGAACTGAATACATCAAAATCTTCAAATATGATTTAACATATCCTTTAATAATTCAAAATGTGCAGAATGAGTTAATCTATGTTAACAAACATACTTAAAGATTACTAACATCACATTCTATGAGAAAAATTGTTATTAAACATAAAACATTAATAATCTTTTGATAATAATCACTTTTCTTCTAAATAAAAAGGTATTGTGCTTTCCAAAATACAACATCCTCTTTATTTAAAAAATTTTCGTAAATCACTTCTACATGAAGTACTAAATTCTCCTTAAAAAATTAAAGCTCCATTTGATTTTAAATAAGGTTATTTGGTGATTACAAGAATTGGAATCTTAGGATTAACTAAATCGAAATATAAATAGATACCTCTAGATGATAGATAATTGGTTTAAAATAAAGGAAATTAGGCTGAAGAAACTTGGTAATTTTTATTTGATGGTTCAATTTGTTATCCTGTCCAAACATCCCATAAATTAATTAGCTAATCATAATTACAAGAAGCTAAAAGATTTCCATCAGGAGAAAAGCATAATGAAGAGACTTTGCCACTATAACCATCTAATTTGATTTTTTATTATCTTGTCTTAACATCCCACAAATATATGGAATTGTTTTTACTCGTTTTAATAAAACTTAATTGATTTTCGTTGACACTACTATAACTTTATTATTGTACTACATTATATGCTATTGTAGCACCATCAGGGGAGAGGCACACTGAATGGGCCTATTCAGTATGCCCATCCAATTAGCCTTTTTGTTCTACTGCCTTAACATCCCATAAACAAATAGATTTATCTTCACTACCAGATGCTAACAAATTACCATCAGGAGAGAAACATACAGAGAATACAGCATGATTATGACCAGCCAATTTGTATTTTTATTATCTTGTTTAAATATCCCATAAACAGATAAATTTATCTAAACTTCCGGAAGCTAATTGAGTCCCATCAGGAGAGAAGCATAGCGATCTGACCCAATCATTATGACCATTTAATTTAGCTTTTTGTTCTCCTGTCCTAACATCCCATAAACTGATAGACTTATCCCTACTGCCAGAGGCTAATGTGGTACCATCAGGTGAAAAGCATACTGAGTTAATTCCATCGCTATGACTATTCAATTTAGCTCTTTATTATCCAGCCTTAATATCCCATATACGGATATACTCCCCCAAGCCACCAGATGCTAATGTAGAACCATCAGGAGAGAAGCATACTGAGTAGACTTCACTTTCATGATCATCCAATTTTTTTTTTTATTAATTTGTTGTTACATCCCATAAACGAATAGACTAATCTACACTACCTGATGCTAATGTGGTACCATTAGGAGAGAAACATACCGATAAAACCATATCTCGATGGCCATTCAACTTTGCTTTTTATTATCCTGTTTTAATATCCCATAAACGGATGGACTTATCTACACTACCTGATGCTAATGTGGTACCATTAGGAGAGAAACATATTGATAAAATCCAATCACTATGGCCCTCTAATCTAGCTTTTTATTATCCTGTCTTCACATCCCATAAACAGATAGACTTATCCCAACTGGCAGAGGCTAATGTAGTGCAATTGGGAGAAAAGCAAACTGATCGAACAGCATCACTATGACCATCCATAGTGGACTGTTATTATTCTAAGCTTACATTCCATAAACGAATAAACATATCTTTACTACTAGATGCTAAGGTTAAACTATCAGGAGAGAAACATACTGATAAAACTCTATCTCTATGACCAACCAATTTGACTTTTTTTTTTTCTGGTTTTTATATCCCATAAAAGGATAGACTTATCCTAACTACCAGATGCTAAAGTAATACCATCAGGAGAATAACATACTGAGTTGACTCCATCGCTATGGCCATTCATCTTTGCTTTTTATTATCCTGTCTTAACATCCCATAAACGAATAGAGTTATCTCCACTACCTGATGCTAATGTACCACCATCAGGAGAAAAGCATACTGATTGTACATAATCACGATGACCTTTTAAATTAGCTTTTTATCTTCCTGTTTTAACATCCCATAATCTAATTGACTTATCTCCACTGCCTGATGCTAATAGAGCACCATCAGGAGAAAAGCATACTGATTGTACATAATCACGATGACCTTTTAAATTAGCTTTTTATCTTCCTGTTTTAACATCCCATAATCTAATTGACTTATCTCCACTGCCTGATGCTAATAGAGCACCATCAGGAGAA